GGAGCCGTACACAGAAGAGGCCGTCGCTGCGAGAGCACCGCTAGGACTTTCGTCCTTGTGCACACGCGACCAGGCTTACTGGCTCACCATCCTGCCGATGGTGTTCGACATTTTCGTTGAGCCTCACTGCCCGCAGCGTGTGATGAGACAGTTCGGACTTAGGCAGGTGTTTCCGGGCAACGTGCAGCCGACCGTCCTCCCTGCCGACCACTCGTGAGTTCGGATTGTTCATTTCTAAATTTTTATGATAATTACTTCATCGAGCCATATAATTTACCTCTCTTCACAGGTTGACTCGACGGGGACAGCTAGCAGGCGCACTTTGGGCTCCACGTGTACAGCAGTACGTTGACGACTGGGTGTTAGCTACAGAGGAGGTGATCAACGAGCTCTTCCCACACACGGAGGAGAACTACCGTGACTACCTTCGCTGGTACCTTCCTCGCACTCGTGCGCGTGTGACCTTCACTCCAGACGCCCCAGAGCCGCACGTTGCCGCTGTCACGGACGCGTATCCCACGCACCGTGACCGAGACTACTTCGTGGCGGTACGTCCAATTTGTATTACTTCTTACAATTATTTCATTTATCTTGCATAATATAGGACAACTACTGAATTTTTTATTTCCATCTTGCATAGGCTGATGCCGCACGGGATATCAGTGCCGATATCACCGCAGTCCAAGTGAGGTTGAACAGAGGTTTGCACTTGACTGACGTTGAGCAGAGGGTGACCTTCGACCGGATGCAGGAGAAGATGCGTGCGGTCATGCGCGTCTTCTCCTGTCGCAGCGCCGTGGACGTCGTACCTCCAGCTGGTCCAATACAACCACGGCCTCGCGCGCCTACCGTCGGAGCAGGACCTCGACCTACGGCACCTGTTTCGCACGGTACTGCTCAGCCCAGAGGTTTCTTAAGTTTTGTTTCTGTTTTTCTACGAAAACATCACCCCGTCGTAACTTGATGTTCCATCCTCGCAGGACCTCGTTTGCCTTCGAGCGCCCCTAGCTTCGGAGCAGTGCGACCTACAACACCGGTTTCGCACGGTACAGTTCAGCCCACATATTAGTTCATTTTTGTTTCAGCTTTTGCACGAATATGTCACCATGTTTTAACTGCACGTTTCCTCATCGCAGGACCTCGTCTGCCTTCGAGCGCGTTCGCAGGCACGACCGGCGCTTCCGCGAGCTCCGCAGGGGCGTTCGCCACCTCTTCGGGCGCGTTCGCCAGCTCTTCCTCTCACGGAGCGTCGATCCCTCGTCCACACGGTACTTTACTTTTTATTACTACTGTTAAATACTTGTACGAAACTGATGGTCCTTGTCCAGCAGGATTTGCAGCCGGGATCTTCGGTACTGGGGCCTCTTCGTCTCACGCCGGTAGGACTGGTCCTACTAGCCAGTTCTACGACGACGACTTGCACGGTGCACACCACCACGACGTACTAGGCTCCTCTCAGCTTGGAGGAACTCCAGAGGCGCACACTCAGGAGCAGCCAGAGGTCACACCTGTACAGGCAGGACGGGTTGGCCGTGCCGTACCCCCGGACCGACTCACGTACTCCCAGGGGCACATTAGGGCGCAGGGTAGGAGGGACAGGGGTAAGAGGCCTCGTCAGTAGTGTTCTACCTCTTCAGTCCTTATGTGACCGTTTCTTTTGGCTTACAAACTTGTAAAGCAGTACTACTTTTGCTATTACTACTGCAGTACTACTTGTGTTTGTCTCGTCTACATAGTTCTTTTCATTCATATGGTGCTAGAACAACTTATGCTCACGACAACACACTTTCGGCGCTTCACGGTAGTGTCAGATCCAGTAGCGCGCACAGTCCACAACAGCACACATGAAAAGCGGCAGCTCGAGTTATCACTATCAACTTTCGGCGCTGCTTGTTGACATAAAGTGAATCACGCCCACGCGTGATCGTCTTGTCACATCTAATGAATAATGTATCTCATTGAGTTCACATATATTGCAGTGAAAACGACGCTATATAATTGACAATCTGAACGCAACCTCTTCATATCTTCTTTCCCACTAGCACACCACACACGAAAATGGAAGCCTATTCATTGGTAATACGTAATCTAGATTTGAGATTATGTAGAACATTCTTCACTACAATTTTACATTTTGGCAGCAAACCAAATATGATCAAATGCAATTTTACCTTACCAAATATTTGGTAGTGCCAAAACTTGCTTATATTTTGGCACTAACAAAATATTTGTACGGTAACAATCCAAATATGCCCTAAAAAATAATAAAATTGTATTTTACCAGTCTTGGAGATTTTAATCTTGTATAGTTTTCAATATAAAAAGATTTGATAACTATTGATATTTATACAAAAATATAGAGCACAGTATAAAATCGCCCTCCCCCAGGGCGGCAAGGGGGCCGCCTGCAAAATTCCATGCCCCCTCGCCGCCCATTTGCAGGCGGCCCCCCCACAGTACAAAATCGCCCTAGCGGAGGGCGGCAAGGGGGCCGCCTGCAAAATTCCATGCCCCCCTCGCCGCCCATTTGCAGGCGGCCCCCCGCACAGTATAAAATCGCCCTAGCGGAGGGCGGCAAGGGGGCCACCTGCAAATTTCGTTGACGGCCGTCGCCCGAGAGCGAACGGCCGGCTGCCATGGCATTTTCGCCGCCCTCTAGGAGGGCGATTTTTTAAAAATCGCCCTCCCAGAGGGCGGTAGGCGACTACTTCCGTCAATTTTCAAAATGGAAAATTATTTTTGTAAAACTTTTAATAAAAAAAATTATAAATAAAAAAAATTCAAGGAGGAGATTTTCGCGATTTGGGCCGGCTACCAAAAACTAGGAAAAAAAGTACACCCAAGGTCCCTCAACTTGTCATCGAGATACAAAATCGTCCCCTAATCGCAAAACCAGATACCAGGCATCCTCAAGTAACAAAATCGTTCGTTTTAAGTCCCTCGGTGGTTTTGACCCCTGTTTTGTCTGACGTAGCGGCTGAGCCAGCGTGGAACCCACGTGGGCCCCACATGTCAGGATGCCATGTCATCTATCCCTTCCTCTTGTCTCAGTTTTCTCCTCATCTGGGTAGGCAGGCTAGCCGGCAGGTTGGGGAGGAAGTCGACAGGGCGAGCCGGGAAAGGAGGAGGTTCGGCGGCGGTGGCCGGCGATCTTCGATGCGGCAGCGGCGACGACCACGCAGGAGCAGGCTGGTCGGCGGAGCAGGAAAGCGACGGGCGGAGCGACGGCGGCAGCTGCGCCCACCGCACCGACCTGCCGGAGGGCCGGGCAAGTGGTGGGCGAAGCCGGCGACGGCGCGGGCTGGAGCGGCCGACCAGCGGAGCAGCCCGTGCCGTCGCCGGCGGGCGGTAGGCAGGCACGCTGCGGGAGAGGAAGGGGCTGCGGCGGTAGGTAGACGCCGTCGTCGCCACGTTCAAACTCGGCAGCCGCCGCCGTATGCAAATGCACGGTACTCGGAGGCCGAGAGCAACGACGGCTTCTACAAAGCTTTGCTCGGCACGGCGCCCAACGAGGCCTTCGCCCTTGCCATGTGCTACGCCGACCGGAACTGGACGGAATGCGAGAGCTGCCTACGCGCGGCGGCCATCGGGATGGCCTCCCTCTACCCGCGGAGCCGTGCGGCGGCCGCCATGTACGACGCCTGCCTCCTCCGCTACTCCAACGCGTCGTCCTCCTTCGCCGCCGCCAACACCACCGTCGTCTCTGCCTACTCCGTCCGACTCCGCGGGGGGCTACATTGTTGCCGGCGTCGACACCAGCGCCTCGAGCTTAGACAGCGACGACGCGCGGCGGCAGCTGCTGCTAGGCCTGCTCTGGGAAGAGGCCGCCGGTTCTGAGAAGAGGGGAAAGAGAGAGATAACGTGGCATGCTGACATGTGGGGCCCACGTGAATCCCACGCTGACTCAGCCGTCACGTCGGACAAAACCGGGGTCAAAACCACTGAGGGATCTAAAGTGAACGGTTTTGTTAGTTGAGGAACGTCCGGTATCTGGTTTTGCGATTGGGGGACGATTTTGTGTTTCGATGACAAGTTGAGGGACCTTGGGTGTACTTTTCCCCAAAAACAACCTACATGCCACAACCACATAATTTGGCCCACAAAGAGGCCTAGCAAATTTGGGCCACTCCCAGGCCCAGAAAACATTACCAAGTCGAACACCGCACCAGCCATCATCGCTGTCCTCTCTCCTCTCCTCCCAACGCGGCGACCGACGGCCGAGGAAACGGCGACGAGGCGGCGCCCGGCCGGCAACACGGGCGCACGGGGCAAGAGGCCAAGCAAGCTGCAGCCTGCAGGCGAAGGAGGGAGGACGGGAGCGAGTAGGAGATTCAAGGCGGCGGCGCGGCGGTCCGGCCGTCGACCAGCGAGGCGCGGCCGCACGGAGCTGACTGGGCCACTGGGCGCACCAAAGGGGCAAATCAATTTCAAGATCTGATGATATGCTACACTGAGAAACAGATTTGATTTTAAGAACTACACCAAATCATCCAAAGGTTTGAATAGATGAAAGAGCGTCCAAAGAATTTAGTGGTATCATGCTTCTCCCTAAATCTCTAAATTATTTTAAACCATTATTTATCTGTTATCATTATTCATTAATCTGTCATTTCTTTGTTTTTTTTATAGATTGCTGCTCGTGAAGAAAAATGGGTGGTTGATCACCGCACATCATTTATTGGACAATGGTTTCGTACTGTAAATTCTACTCCCTCCGTCCAAAAAAAAAAGGCAAACCCTGGTTTCCGTGTCCAACTTTGACTGTTCGTCTTATATGGAATTTTTTTATAATTCGTATTTTCATTATTGTTAGATGATAAAACATAATTAATATTTTATGCGGGACTTGTCTTTTTAATTTTTTTTTATATTTTTTTCAAATAAGACGGACGGTCAAACGTTGGGCATGGAAACCAAGGTTTGTCTTTTTTTTTTGGGATGGAGGGAGTATGTATTTCAGTATGTGTACTCCGAATCAGATATGTAGCCTACATGAAAGATGCACCAAATTGTGTTGGCCTAATTTGTTAAGCCTCACGTATTATTTTTTCATGAATCTATGGTATTAATCATATGGTAGAAAGATGCGCATGCATGTCTTAGGGATTGGGATCCTCTGACGTGAAGTCAGAGAGACGTGGTGACTGACATGTGAACCCCACCACTCGCGGACCCACTTGTTAGTGACCATGTCACGGAGCAGTTCACGTCAGAGGATCCAGTTCCGTCTTACAGACACTCAAAAAAAAAAAACTAAGCCCGTTTAACAAGCTGAGCACGGAGCGGCTTTGCCATCACAGTGGTGAACTCATTCTTCTCGGTCAAGTCCACCTCGTCGCCGGCCACCTCCTTCCACTCGAACTCCTTCACCAAATTCGCCACGAAATACTCCAGGTGTAGCATGGCAACGCCGAGCCCGGCACAGATCCTCCTCCCGACGCCGAACGGCATCATCCGGACCTCCCGGCTGCCCGTCACGTCCACTCCCTCGCCGTCGCCGCCGGCGAGGAACCGCTCAGGGATGAACTCCATCGGCTTCTCCCACTCCCTCTCGTCCCTTCCCATCTCGGCCACCATGAAGTTCACCGTCGCGCCCTTGGGGATGAGGTACCCGCCGACCTCGACGTCCTCCGCCGCCTTGTGCGGCAGCACGAAGTGGGCCGGCGGGTGCTTGCGGAGGCCCTCGAGGATGACGGCCTTCAGGTACGGCATGTCGTGGGTGTCCTCCTCGGTGATCTCGTCGTCGCTGGTCTTGGACTTGATCTCGTCGTGGAGCTTGGATTGGATGGATGGGTTCTTGACCAGCTCGGCCATGATCCACTGCAGCGCGGTGGCCGTCGTGTCGGTGCCGGCATTGAGGAACTCGGAGCAGAGCATCACCAGCTCGTCCTCGGTGAGGGCGCTGTCGCCGTCGGTGTCGGGGAGGCTTACGTCGAGCAGCGTGTCGACGTACGAGTGCTCGAACGTCGTCTCCTTCTCCGGCACCGGTGGGCCGCCGGCTTGCTGGATATGGTTCTTGCGCGCTCGCCGGGCATCGATGAGTGGCACAAAGAGCTCCTTCTGCTGCCGTCGCAGGGCGAGGCCTATTTGGAGGCGGCGGCGGAAGATGTGCTTGGTGACCGCCGGGTAGAACGCGAATACGCTCGTCTTCCTCGCGACGTACAGGAGCCAGTCGCGCTGCGCGGCGCCGATGGCGCGCACCGCGGCCTCGTCGAGCCGCTCGCCGAAGCACATGAGCACGAGGAGGCAGAACATGGCGTACCGGAACGTCTCCACCACCACGCGCGGGCGTGGCGGCTCGGACTCGGGGCGCGCGCCGTCCGCGAGCTTGTCGACGAGCACTCGGCGAACCCAGGAGCGCGCGGGCGCGAACAGGCGGACGCGCGACGGGTGCAGCGTCTCGGCGACGAGGTTGCGGCGGAGGACACGCCACACGGGGCCGTAGCTGGAGCGCGTGATGGTGTTGCCGGTCTCGCCGAGCAGCGAGCGCGTGACGTCCGGGCGGTCGGCGAGCGCGGCGCCGCGCTCCACCAGGGCCGCGTGCGCGACGCGGCGGTCGGCGACGAAGATGGAGAGGCGGGAGCCCACGCGCAGCGACACGACGGGGCCGTACCGCGCGATCAGGCGCTGGAGGAGCGGCTCCAAGTTCGCCGAGGAGTGCCTCAGCCACAGGAGGCTTCCGAGCACCGGCACGGCGAGCGGGCCAGGCGGGATGCGGCGGCTGCCACCGCCGCTCCGGCGCCGCCGCGCGAGGAGGACGACGAGCGGGAGGACGAGAGCGACGAGGAGCAGGAGCCATGAGGTGTCCGTGGCCATGGCGTCTTCTTGCCTTTGCTCTGCTCCGCCGCCTCGTCAGTTGAGCTTTAGTAGCTTCGGAGTTCGAGTCAAAGTTCTTTCGGCTGCTGACGTCATGGCTGATGGATCTGATTCGGTGGCGTTTCTAGAGGATGAGCATGTGCGAGATGCCCTTGGCTTCAAAGCTCGATGACAGATGCTTTGGTTATCCTGGTTATTGACCTTATTAAAAAGAGAAAATTCGATCCATAATACATGAAAGAAAGCGGTACCAAAAAATAACATAAAAAGTTTCCACTTTCAATCTATAGCATAGGCCACCGATTTTTCTTTGTCCCGTAGCACTTCCGTCACATTCTGAAGTAACGGCGTTAGATAGGAGTGGAGAAAATTTTCGTTGCACTCATTTGCCCTTTGTTCCCCCACCAGGTCTCCTCTTTTGCTCCCGCGTGGACGGTGGTGCGGCGGCCATCAGCGTGCCGAGTGACCACCTCGTCTCCCCGCCACCGCCGAGAGGGCTGCGGTGCACGCTCTTCAACAACATGGACGCGTGGCTCACCATCGCCACCGACGGCGAGGTGGACCCCGTCTGGCGCTCGGCGCTGCTGATCGAGGGTGAGCCACCCACGCCGGCGGTCGTTTGACGACAAGGACGACAACGATGACGTGGGTGGCCCTATCTTCGGCATGGATAGATGTGGCCCATGGTGGCCGTACTCGCCGCCGGAGAACTGCCTCTTCCTCGCCACGACGCCGCACCACGCCGGCTTGCCGCTGCTTCCCTCTACATGCACGGCTGCTCCACCGGCTGCAGCACGCTCCGTCTCGCCAAGGACATCGCCGAGAACAACCGCGGCGCGTGCGTGCTCGTGGCCTGCGCGGAGGTCTTCCTCATAGCGTTCGCCGCCCCCGATGATGCCCACCTCGATACCCTCGTCGTTGCGTCACTGTTTGGTGATGGCACCTCTATGTCTTCCTCCTCTCCGTTGCAGATGGTGGGCGGTGCCGGCGCGGTTCGGCTCGGCGGTGCGCTTGGAGACAGGGATGGTGGCGGCGCGGCTAGGGATGGGGATGGCAGCGGCGTGGCTGGGGACGGGGATCGTCGCCGTGTGGCTGTTTGGTGACGGCTCCGGCGCCGTCGTCGTGGGCACCGACCCGAGAGAACGAGATGATGGTGATTACGGCGAGGAAGATGAAGGGCAAATGGGTCCAACAAAATTTTTCTATACTTCGATCTAACGTTGTTAACTCCAACCTGACGGAAGTGCTACGGGGCGAAGAAAAACCGGTGGCTTGTGCTGTTGATCGAAAGCAAAAAAAAATTCTTGTGTTATTCTTTGGTACCGTTTTTTTTTTCTATACTATGGATCGAATTTTCTCATGCATAGTAAAATGCATCGTGTTGTCATCGTCACATGAACTATTCTGGGACAAACCAAATGCTCCATCGGGAGGAATTTCTGAAGAAAAATCGACCATCTTGGATGATCCTGAATTCCTGATGTCTGAAAGCGCAGACAGAAACAGTTGAACGGTACACGGGCCACACGGCTTCGTCTAAATCAGAATTCTTCAGAAAACGATGCCGTTTTACTGTTCACTTGTTGGAAGCAAGTCAAGCTGGATCAATCAATGACACGGCGAATGCAAGTTGGCCATATCGTTGCACGGTGGTTCTCCGTCACATAAGATGTTTGACAATAATTTGAAGTAGTAAACATATACTATTTACAAAACTAATTACATAAATGAGGCGGAAACTTGCTAATTGATGCGAAAAAAAATCAAAAAATGAGAAAAAAGGAAAAAAAATCGTGAAAAAAAGGGAAAGACACGTGGGAAAAAGGAAAAAAACGCGGAAAAAAAAGGAGGGGACGCGTGGCGTGGTGGGGGCCGAGCGCGCCAATTAGCAATTCTGTTCACCGGAGGTCTCTTAACTTAACAGCGATATTTTTTTAGGTCCCTTAATCACAAAACCAGAAATGTGTACCCTTTAACTTACACATACCGTGCACAAGGTCCTATACCAGTATATATGGGAAGTTTCGCTGATGTGGCATCCTAGTCAGAAAAAAAAATTAAAAAATTACGTGGGTCCACGTCTCAGCTGCACATTTTTTTCTTCTCTTTTCTCTCATCTCTCTTCGCCGGCAGCGGGCGGCGATGGCGAGCAGCTTCACGTCGACAAGCACGTGGCCGGAGGCAGGCGGAGCAGCGGCGTCGGCGGGCGGGCGCGGCGGCAAGCAGCGGGCGAGCAGTGGCTTCAGGCGCGGGTGAGCGCGGCCACAGAGGGCGAGCGACAGTGGGCGGCGGCGCGCGGCCGGAGCTAGCAGAGCGGCGGCGATGTAGCGGAGGGGCGGTGTTAGCGCAAGGCCAGAGCAGGCGGAGCGGCGGCTGCAGCGATGGCAAGCGGTGGGCGAGCGACGGCTCTTGGCGCCGACAAAGCAGAGGGGCGGGGGACGCGGCGGCGAGGTGTCACCTCTTTCCCTCTCTCCGACCGGCCTCATCTCCCCAACTCCGCCCGGCCTCCTCTCCTCGTCTCCGGCGGATACTAGACCTCAACGCGGATACGACGGCACGCTTTGCCTCAACGCGGTGGCGTCGGTGTACCTGCAGTCCTGGACATGGCACATCAACGGGAGCCACGTGAACAAGACCACCGCGACGAGCAGCCGCCTCAATGATGCGGCCAACGACGCGACTACGGAGGACCACGGTGAGCACGCGCGGCCGCCGCCGCTCTCCCCCATTGCCCTTGCCTGCTTCGCCCGCTGTTGCCGCTGTTCTCGCCTGTCGCCCCTACCTACTTCGCCCGCCGCCACCGCGCTCACCTGCCACCGCCGCCCCTGCCTGCTTCTCCCACCGCCACCGCGTTCGCCTACCCCCCCCCCCCCCACGCTCCTGCCTGCCTTCGCCTACCGCGGCTGCGCTCGCCCGCCATCGCCCTGCCCGCCGAAGAAGACGAGAGAAGAGAAGAAAATAAAGGAGAAAAGAGAAGAAAGGTGAAGAAAGAAGGGATATGGGGCCCACATCGGTTTCTCTCACTTGCATGTGGGTCCCATATACTTTATTTATTTATTTTTGCTGACTAGTATGCCACGTCAGCGAAACCACTCATATATACTATCATGTGCCATAGGACCTTGTGTGCACGGTTTATGTAAGTTAAGAGGTACACATTTCTGGTTTTGTGGTTAAGGGACTAAAAAATCTCACTGTTAAGTTGAGGGACCTCCGGTGAACTTATTCCAATCCAAGAAAACGAACGGTTCGACCTTCAAGTCCGGGTGATTTGGCAATGGGCCGGCCCTTCCAATTCGGCCCGCTCGACCTACAACGCCTTCTTTCTCAGCCAGCAATTCTTCCCCTGCACTGAGTGCAAAGGGATGGATTGCCACTCGTTGTGCCTCTTTTATGCGCATTAGGGAGGAGACGGCCGAAACACATCCTGATCATCGGATGTGTCTTCGCTCGTTTGGTTTGGCTTCGAGTGCTCACCTTGATCATTGGTAGGGGAGATTTCTCATCGGACCCGCATGCCCTGTTGCATGATTGGTGGCAGCTCTCAAGGGATCGACTGGGCAAGCAGCTCAAAACTCCAGTTATGTTCACTGTCTAATCCTTTTTATTGTTGGTTCTTTCTGTTCCTTAGGAGCTTGGAGGAACTGTATGGAATAGACCGTACTGAATCCGACTTGTTCAGAGAATAGAATTGCCCGTTTCAATGTTCACTTGTGACTTAATTTGTGGTTGTATAATCTACTACTAATATCCATCTCGTACAACAGAAGACACGGGAGTCTCGTGAAGCATCACACGACTACACATCTGGCGATTACATTTTGTGACCTCAAGGGTGAAGCCTTCTACAGTTCTATATTGGATGGTAGAATACCAGGCAGACGTAAAAGAGTGGAATTTAAACTTTCGAGGATGTGTTCCCTCGTTGTTTGCAATATCACTTAAATGATTATAAAAAAAATGAGAAGATGTATTAACATACAGTATAATATATCATTTGAAAATTTACAAGTTCAAGCTCAACATATCGCAACGAAAAAAATAAATTTTATATTTAGTTCAGAATTAGCTCATTTGGCAGGCATATAAGACAGTAAAACAAAAATGGCCCAAAAGAATTTAGGCCCACTAGTTTTTTAACTACTAAATACAAACTCCTAAGAAAGCGGTAAAAATCGTTAGGCTCGTTTAATTAGCCGGACGCGGAGCGACTTTGCCATGACGGTGGTGAACTCGAGCCTCTCGGCGAAGTCCACCTCGTCGCCGGCGACCTCCTTCCACTCGAACTCCTTCACCATGTTCGCCACGAAGTACTCCAGGTGCAGCATGGCGACGCTGAGCGCGGCGCAGATCCTCCTCCCGGCGCCGAACGGCATCATCCTGATCTCTCTGCTGCCGGTCACGTCGACGCCCTCCCCGTCGCCGCCGCCGGCCATGAACCGCTCCGGGATGAACTCCGTCGGCTTCTCCCACTCCTTCTCGTCCCTGCCTATCTCGGCCACCATGAAGTTCACCGTGGCGCCCTTGGGGATGAGGTACCCGCCGACCTCGACGTCCTCGGCCGCCTTGTGCGGGAGCAGCAAGTGCATAGGCGGGTGCTTCCTGAGACCCTCGAGGATGACGGCCTTCAGGTATGGGAGGTTGTTGCGGGCGTCGTCCTCGTTGATCTCGTCGTCGTTGTCGCCGCTCATCGTGGCCTTGATCTCCTCGTAGAGCTTTGATTGGATGGATGGGTTCTTGACCAGCTCGGCCATGATCCACTGCAGCGCGGTGGCCGTCGTGTCGGTGCCGGCGCTGAGGAACTCGGAGCAGAGGCTGACCATCTCGTCGTCGGTGAGCGCGCGGTCGCCGTCGCCGTCGACGTCTTGTAGTCTTATGGTCAGCAGTGTGTCAACGTACGAGTGGTTGAATGTTGTGTTGTCGTCCTTCTTCTTCTCTGATGCCGCTGAATCACCGGACTGTTGAATTTGTTTCTTGCGCTCTCGCCGGGCGTCGATGAGTGGCATGAAGAGCTCCTTCTGCCGCCGCCGCACGGCGAGGCCCAGATGGACGCGCCCGCGGAAGAGGTGCTTGGTGATCGCCGGGTAGAACATGAAGACGCTCGTCTTCCTCCCGAGGTACAGGAGAAAATCGTGCTGCGCGGCGCCGATGGCGCGCACCGCGGCCTCGTCGAGCCGCTCGCCGAAGCACATGAGCACGAGGAGGCTGAACATGGCGTACCTGAACACCTCCAGCACGCGAGGAGGAGACGCAGGGTGCGCGCCCGCGTCCGCGAGCTTGTCGACGAGCACGCGGCGAACCCAGGAGCGCGCGGGCGCGAAGAGGCGGACGCGCGACGGGTGCGTCGTCTCGACGACGAGGTTGCGGCGGAGGAGGCGCCACACTGGGCCGTAGCCGGAGCGCGTGATGGTGTTCCTGCTCTCGCCGAGCAGCGAGTGCGTGACGTCCGGGGGGCGGTCGGCGAGCGCGGCGCCGCGCCCCACCAGGGCGGCGTGCGCGACGCGGCGGTCGGCCACGAAGATGGAGAGGCGGGAGCCCACGCGCAACGACACGACGGGGCCGTGCCGCGCGATCAGTCGCCGCAGGAGCGGCTCCAGGTTCGCCGAGGAGGAGTGCGTCAGCCACACGAGGCTTCCGAGCACGGGCACGGCGAGCGGGCCAGGCGGGACGCGGACGCCGTGCTTCCGCTTAACGGCGCCATGCTTCGCGAGGAGGGTGAAGAGGAACGCGACGAGGAAGACGACGAGGAGCAGGAGCCATTGTGTTGCATCGATGGCCATGGCGATGGCGTCGTGTCGTCCCTTGCGTTCCGCAAGTTAATTATCAGCTCCGCTTCGTCAGTTGTTGTTAAAGATGGTTTAGCTTCCCTGCCTTGTGGCTCTAGCCTCTAGGCCTGTAGTTGATGGATGGGTTTCCATGGCATTCCGGACAATATCGATCGATCAGCATGGCCAGTTAAATATTCACTCAGATTCATATTATAAGTTGTTTGATTTTTTCCTAATCAAACTTTGTTAAGTTTAATTAAGTTTACAGAAAATTTAACAACATATAAAATATCAAATTAGTTTTATTAAATCTAATAATGATTATACTTTGATAATATGTTTGTTTTGTGTTGAAAATACGGATGGCTACTCAGACATAAACGTTTAGCTCTGGATTTGGTCTAATTCTTAAAACTTTAGCTAACGATGACTATCATACTTTAGTTTATAACGATAAAAATGATGTACAAATATTTGACTTAAATACTTATTTTTGTGATTGTATAATCTCTAGTCCCTCCGTATCGTACAAGGCTTGTCTGATTCCGTAGCATATCGATCGATCAGCACGTGTACGCTGGATCAATTATTTATCACGACAAAATTCAGAAGAAAAATCGGTCATCTTGAACTTGATGTTCGAACATAAACGTGCTTGGTTTGCCGACTTGCCCGTACTGATTCCGATTTTGCAGAAATTGGTAGCCATTTAGCGCCTCACTTGTTGGGGGCAAGCAGCCAAGCAATCAGAATCACACGATGAATACAAGTTGGCCATATCATTTGCTAGTTCAGCAATAGCACACAATGATCTGCTCTTTGCAGAACACATTAATCTACTCGTATATTGCTAACACACTCCAGCTTACATACAGTTACTACACTCACGCCTCTATACACTCGCATATGACCTGCGCTACAACGAGTAGAGCACTAACTCTTACCAAAAAGTAAACAAAATGACTGTATAGGACTTGACAAGGCTGAGTTTACAGTCACAGAGCCTGATGCCGATGGACTTAGAAGATTTGCACGGCACAAGCACAACTAGCAGCACAGGACTATGCACAATGCTTCTGAGATGTGGCCCCAGCTTAGTTTCTGTGGGGCTGAGCAGGGGCCACAGGTCAGAAGCACAATGTTCAAAGCTGTGCTACCAAGCTGGGCGCACACTTAGCCACACAAACATTATACGGCAAGAAACCTTACATAAAATATCAAGAGCTGACCTCGGCGACCTTGCTTGCTGCATCTGAGATCCTGAGGTTGCAGAGCAATGCATCACGTCCCGTAAGCACGATCTGAAAGAAGTCGCCTACGCGCTTCGATAGGGAGTCCAACCCATGCCGGAGCCCCTCCGCGCTTTTCGACATGCTGGATATGCAGTTTAATAGTTCCTCCTTGCTTTCCTGGACACTGGTTCTCTCAGGAACAACCAGGGCGCTCTCATCGCTGCTGCCATTCGCCTGCTTTACGTTACTATCTTGGTGCTCTTTGTAACTGATTCTCTCAACCATTGCCACTTCCTTTTCATAGCTGATATCCTTCTTCATTTCAGCTTCTTGTGTTCCCCCTTCTGCAATACTCTCTGAAATTACTATTCCACCCTCCCTGGTAGTGTCATCAGCAAGTTTAAGACCACAGTGATGGTCTCCTTCCTGCGCAATGCTGTCTGACATGACCTCTTCCTCTGTATGGCTAACAGCATTTGCCAGGTTGGCAGCTTCTTCTTCAAGCTGAGAAGTGCTAGCCAAAACATGCAGCCTTCTAGCACATGCTTCAACTTCTTCCAGCTCTTTTACAGCTGCAACACTTCCACCGGATAATTGTCTTGTGAGTTCCTCACTGACTGCAGTATGAAGGTCATTGAAGGCCTGAGACCAACCAAATTTTTCAGGGACATGCAACTCCACCAGTGGCTTGGGGCTGCCAGACAGTACAGCTACAAAAATACTGCATACGAACACCGTCACAGACTCGATTCCATATAACGCTCTCATGAGCACTTTCCCTTTCGCGGAGTTCTTGACCTTCATCAGAGAAAGGTTCCCAGCAAGCTCCTGCAAGGTCGCCGAGCAGCTAACAAGCCTTGCACATCTTACGCCCACCAGCTCCATCCACTCCCTAAGTGATGGCTCAGCTCTCTTGAGTTGCTCCTGCGACGGCACGCCACTCTCCGAGCCCAACACATGCAGGGCATACTGCAACAGCAATTGCCCTTGATCCAGACGAGAGAGCTCCGAGCTCAGCGCGATGCAAATATCCAGCAGCTTCACGCTGCTGTTGAGATAAATGTCCACCCATTTGTCATCCCAGTCCGAGACAGGCAGCTCGAGATCGGTTATCAGGTTAGCTATGTTGGTGTGCAGCTCTGACAAGCAATCCACTGCAAGCCTCATCCATGACAAGGTGAGGACATCCGAGGCGGCCTCCGGCTTGAGCTTCCTCAAGCTCAATGCCAGGGCATCCTCGTACGAAGCGAGCAACTCTTGGAGCTTCCGAGATAGGTGAGCTCCCCCTGGAAACATAACTCGAAAGGGATTCCCCACAGGGAAGAACGATCTGGGACTACCGTGTGCGCGACTCATCTCCACTGAACTGCAACCAAAGGGGAATCGAATCATCCAATTAGCACTTCGCAACACAAACATGGATGAATAAAGCAACAAACCAATCGGCCGTACATACAACACCTTTTGTGGATCAAATCAAGCAAAAGGGATACCTAACCTCATGGTGATAATAGTCCACGATTCATAAAATTCACAGAATCTCCCTTTTCCCCGATTCGTCTGGCAGATAAGCTCCCACTAAACATACAAACCCTAGCGATGCTCCGCCTCAATTCACTGCGCCGAACTAACATTACACTCTTGCAACACAACATGAAATTTTTTGCAGTAGCATATCTGTATCATCCATGGCGACCAAACCCTAAATCGAGCTAGACAAGTAAAAAATCAAGCAGGGGAATCACAGCCACAAATTCCCAACAACAAACCACCATACCTCCAAATCATCAAATCCACGAACCGATAAGAACACACAACTAAGCTACGTCCGCACAAGTTGACCTCAGATCCACCAAACCACCCAGAAAAAAAAAAAACTTGCGCCAAAATACTCTCAACCCAAATAACAACCACACAGGGATGAGAAGAGGAATCCACTCACCTAGATCGGCGGATCCGCGCGCGGGGGTGCTCAAATCGAGCTCGATTACTCGTCAATCGTCGCGTCTTCTTCCTCTCTTCTTCTTCTTCGGTGCGAGACTGAGTCGAAGGGGAGAGGAGAAAAAAAGGGGAAAGAAGAAAATTATTTGGGAGAGGTGGAAAGTTCGAGACGCGGAATGATACGTTATTACGTTGGGGTTGGGGGTTGGGCCGCGCGGCCCGTTAGGCCCGGATTTCTTTTTAGTTTTATTGTGATTATTATTTCTCGGTTTGGATTTTTTTGGGGGGGAGTGGGAGCCAACGGGCAAACAGCTGGCAGGCTGATAGCCATTTGTCGGCGTGGTTAAGTTAATGCGATTTTTGTTTGTTTCGATCGATGTCGTTATATATTTTTTTTCCGGGATTTGTTCGTGTGTGTCCAACTGTATGGTGCGATGATGCGAATGCTTATCTTAATTCCGGAATTCCCTCAAGCAAGATACTGTATCATTAAGAAAAAGTGGAGTACCGAATAGTTTCCGTTAAATTGTTTTGCAATGCATCCAGCCATATGGAGTATATAAAATACGGTCCTGCTTTGTATCCCTCAATCGTGATATCTGATATCACGTCCTTTCAATTATTAAAACCAATATAAATTGACTCTTTTAGTGCTATTAACGGTGCTTTTCACTGACGTGGCTTATTAACCTAATACAACCAGCTAATTGTTAGCTACTCCTAACAAAGACACAAGAACAGTTGGACACGAGTGGATACGAGAACACGATAGATAGGTTTCCTCTCGATCCGACAGGATCAAGCCGCCGCCGCCTTCGCCTCCGCCGTGTTCTCAGTTCATACCTTTCGCCATCGTTCTCCTCTGTTTAATACAATCTCCCACAACCCGTGACAGCTGTCACAGCACACGCAACTCACACACGCCATCGCACAGGATGGATTACTCACTTGGCCCACATCGGCCCATTAACACGAACACTGGGTCGTTTAGCACGCAGGCCGCGCCCCAGGTCCTTTCCTGATTCACCTCCCTGCTGTAGCTCGTCATCTTCTTTGTCAACTCCCAGTGCAACTGCAGACTTGTCAGACCTTCCCGATGTAGTTATGCCGCTTGGTTGGGATGGTCTGACAATCCCCCAGTCTTGAAAACTGGCTTGTCCCCAAGCCAGTGCACGCGGAAACCGCGCGAACAGATCCTCCATGTCCTCCCAAGTAGACTCTGACGGCGAGGAATGATACCAATGGGTTAGTAACTGAAGAACGGAACGATTACCTTTCTTTACCAGGCGTTTGTCCAGGAACTGGAATGGAACTTGGAGAGCTCCCAAAGAAGTTGGTAGCTCATCTTGCACCTTTTTAGAAAACCCCACAGCTGCTTTTAATTGCGAAACATGGAAGACTGGATGAATGGAGCTAGTAGCAGGAAGCTGGATATGATAAGCAACAGTACCAACTCTGCTCATCACCTGGAATGGGCCATAGTAGCGGAAAGCCAACTTGTGACAAGCACGTTGCGCCACAAACGTTTGAACATAAGGTTGTAACTTCAAATACACCCAGTCTCCTACTGCAAACTGTCTGAAACTGCGCTTTTTATCTGCCTGGTGCTTCATTTGCTGCTGAGCACGGTTCAGGTGTTGTTGCAAGAGCTGCTGCATAAATTTTCTCTCAGTGTGCCACTCATGTAAGTCAGCAATCTGACAGTCATCCAAACCAATGCCAAAATGGGATGGTGTATAGCCATAGAGTACTTCAAAAGGGGTTTTGTTCAAAGTGGAATGGAAAGATGTGTTGTACCAGAATTCTGCAAGATACAGCCAGGAAGACCACTTGTGGGGAGCAGCATGTACAAAGCATCTGAGATAAATCTCCAAGCATTGGTTCACCCTTTCAGTTTGCCCGTCAGATTGGGGGTGGTAAGCAGAGCTCATGTGCAAATCAGTGCCAAACTTAGAGAAGAGTTGATCCCAAAATTGACTGGTAAAGATTTTGTCGCGATCAGAAATAATGGCACGAGGCAACCCATGTAACTTATAAATATTTTTCATGAACTCTTGAGCCACCCCTCCAGCATTAAAAGGATGGGATAAAGGAATGAAATGGCTGTATTTGGAAAACTTATCGACCACAACTAAAATGCAATTGTAATGAGAGGAGCGAGGTAACCCTTCGATGAAATCCAGTGATATTGTCTGCCACGCTCCTGCGGGAACTGGCAAGGGCTGAAGGAGACCTGGATACCGAGCTCGGTCAGGCTTGGCTTGCAAGCAGACTTGACACGATTGTAATTGTTCTTTGATCAACTTCTTCATGCCTGGCCATGCAAACAAACTTTTCACCTTGCGGTATGTCACTGGGAAACCTGAGTGGCCACCAAGGGGTGTCGCATGCAGCTCATTCACTAATTTGTGTTGCAGGGCTGTATTGTTGCCCACCCAGATCTTGCCCTTGTATTTCAGAATTCCCTGGCACAGTTGATAATCCTTCCGGCTGTTGGGACTGATAGCTAGTTCAGCCAGTAGCTGTTTAGATTGACCATCCAGCTGATACCCTTGCATTAGTTCTTGCATCCACGATGGAATACATTCAGATATAGCAGCAACTTCACTGATTGGTGATTCCCTTCTAGATAGAGCATCAGCAGCAGCATTAGAAACTCCCTTTCTATAGCAGATCTTGTATTGCAGCCCTAGCAGCTTGGTGAAAGCTTTCTGCTGCCAAGGTGTATGTAATCTTTGCTCTGTAAGGTGCATTAAGCTGTGGTGATCAGTGAGGATAATAAACTCTCCTTGTTGCAAGTATGGTCTCCAATGTTCAACTGCAAGGATAATAGCCATGTACTCTTTTTCATAAGTAGACAGTCCTCTTGTTTTTGGGCCCAAAGCTCTGCTGAGATAAGCTATAGGATGTTTTTCTTGAGATAGAACAGCCCCTATGCCCACATCACTTGCATCTGTTTCAATAGTGAAGTGCTTGGAGAAATCTGGCAGTGCTAAAACAGGTGCTGCCACTAGAGCCTGTTTTAGCTGCTGAAAAGCTGATTCAATTTCAGGAGTCCACTTGAAGGGTATTCCTTTCTTTAACAACTGTGTCAGAGGTTTGCTAATCAGTCCAAAATGTCTGACAAACTTCCTGTAATATCCTGCCAAACCCAAGAATCCTCTCAGCTTCTTGATTGTGGTAGGTTGTGGCCAACTCACCACATCCTGTATTTTTGCTGGATCAGTAGCCACTCCAGCGGCCCCAATTACATGGCCCAAGTAAGAGATCTCTTGTTGAGCAAAGGAGCACTTGCTCAATTTCACCTTCCACTGGTGGGCAGATAAGAGCTGGAGCACTGTTCTGACATGTTGGAGGTGCAGTTCCAGTGTGGGACTATAAATCAAAATGTCATCAAAGAATACTAAGGCAAATTTTCTCAATACTGGAGACAGGGTTTCATTCATAGCACTAAGGAAAGTGGCAGGGGCCCCAGTTAATCCAAAGGACATGACCTTGTACTCATAGTGTCCTGAGTGTGTTTGGAAGGCAGTTTTGTATTCATCACCTTCTGCCATACGAATTTGGTGGTATCCAGCCCTGAGATCTAATTTTGAGAACCATTTGGATCCTGCTAGCTCGTCCAACAATTCGTCTATGACTGGGACAGGATACTTACTCTTGACAGTTACATCGTTCAGTTGCCTGTAATCAATACAGAGACGCCATGTTCCATCTTTCTTTTTGACCAATAGTGCAGGTGATGAAAATGGGCTACTACTTGGTTGTATCACCCCCGACCTGAGCATTTCTGCTACTTGCCGCTCAATCTCATCCTTGAGGGCTGGTTTGTATCGATAAGGTCTCAGATTGACAGGCTTAGCCCCTTCCACCAGTGGAATGTGATGGTCACAATTCCTCTTAGGAGGTAATTCAGTTGGCTCAGAAAAAATTTCCTGGAATTCATTTAATATGGGCTGAACTATCTCAGGCACTGTGGTTGCAGTAAGAGTTTCAGCAACATTGAGATGCACCAAACACATGACAGCACCCTTCTTGGACATACCTTGCAATTGGTCATTAGAAATAGGAAAACATGTAGAGAGTTGGGGATGAATGCCTTGCAATTGAACTGCTTGCCCATGGTGTTGGAATGCAATCCACTTATGAACCCAATCCACTTGCATTGGACTGAACTGCTCCAGCCAATCCATGCCCAATATAGCATCATAGCTGCCCAATGGCAACAACCTGAAATCACTAGTAAAGCTGTGCCCCTGACTCCACCAGCTGCAATTGGGAAGGAAAGAGTCACAGAACAACTGGCTGCCATCAGCTACCTGAACCTTGATAGCTTGATTCAACTTCTGCAATCCACACAATTGTGCCCCAAGTTTAGCATCGATAAAAGAATGAGTACTGCCGGAGTCCACCAACATTAACAGCTCTGTATTTTGCACCCAGCCCCGGAGCCTGATAGACTTAGAAGAATCTGTACCATTCAAAGCTTGAAAAGAGATGGCCATTAAGGAATCCTCTTCAGATTCAGGAGCCCCTTCTGAATTGCAATTTTCTTCAGGATCTGTCTTCAGAGCATTTATCAACTCCTCCACCACATGAAGCTGAACCGTAGTAGCACATTTGTGGTCCCTTCCCCATTTCTCACCACACACAAAACATAAGCCTTTTGATCTCCTGTAAGACCTTAGAGCAGAAACCTTATCATCCCTTCCCTTGCTGAATTCTACTCCTCTTTTATCTTCAATGTTCGTAAAAGGAATGCTCCTGGCTTGGAAAGTTGGTGAGGTCAGATTGTGACTTGGCTTAGTTTTCAGAAAAGTTGTTGTCTCATTTTTCTTGTTGCTAACAGATTGTACTCCTTCCAATGCCTCCTCCTGTAACAGTGCCACTGTACAGGCTGAATCAAGATCCTGAGGGCGCTGCACCATCACTACTACCCTGATGTGGTCCTTGAGTCCATCCACGAACTTTGTCACAAAATAAGCAGGATCATTACTTCCTCCATATGCCATCAGTTGATGCATAATAGAATCAAATCTATCCACATAGTCAGCCACAGAGCTTGTTTGTGTTATATGGATCCATTGCCTGATCAGAGCCTGCTTCCTGTCTCGGGCAAACCTACCACAAACCCTGTCACACAATTCGAACCAAGTAGCACCAGCCAATTGAGACCTAACAGACTGAAGCCAGAAAGCTGCATTCCCACAAAAGTTCAGGGTAGCAATCTTGACCCAATTTTGAGGATGTATACCATAGATATCAAAATACACTTCACAGTTAGATTTCCACAGTTG